AAAAAACCTTCTTACCATCCCAAATCTTTTCTCTACTGAAGTGGTGGTTTAAGAAACAGTTTACTCTTGGTGGGATTTTTTCCCTGCTGCTTTCCTTGTTTGTCCAAATATATTTTTGTCTTCTTTGCTCAGCTCAAAGAGACAGTCTTGAAGCTGTAGTTGTAATGTTGGCTGAGACTTTAATGCTTCCCATAAATTATTATTATAAAGTTATTTCTCGCTATTTGGGGAATAGTAGCAGACATACATATATTTTAGGACTGCATTTCTTCTGTTCACTTCTTCTGTTTCTTTGAGGAAAAGAAGTGAAGCATTTCTTTTAGTCATTTGCTCCAGTCCACATCAGAGTTAACAGAAAAAAAGAAGCAATAAGAAAGTCATTTCAAAAATGCAGGATAAATGGATTGAAATACAATCTCACCTCAGACATCATTTCTAACAACATTTTCAAAACTTAAAAACAACAACAACAACAACAACAATGAATCTGCCAGTGCTATTCTGCCAGCTAAGTTGTTTCCATTATGATGTTTACAAAAAAATTAATATTGGGTTTAGACTCCATCCAGGGTAGGAGTGCTGGGATTTGCAGTCAAGCACCATCTGACAGGCCACATTATCCCCAGTATTCTCTGTACAGTAGTGAGTAATTTAAGAGTGAGATTCTTAGCACATGCCTGCAACAGGATTTCTCCTAGGTCAATAGAAATGGGCTTTATCAAAGCTGCTTGGTAGAGACATTTCACAGGTCTCTGGTAGATACAACGCAGGGCAGATCTACACCAACCAGAATGCTCCGAGATGCGCCCAGAGCATTCTAGCCCCAAAGGTGTCCTGAATTCTCCCTGTTACCTTGTCATTCTGGAGTGATGCTGGGCAACTGTCCACACAACTGTCCCTCTATGCCACCTGGCACCACCATCATCAATGGGAGTGGGACACTCATGAGTTGGTCCCCCTGAGATAGAAAATAAGGCATCCATCAATATATATCAATATATATATAATCAATTTTGTGGAAGCCTATATATATTGTTGGCCAAGAGCCTGAGGGAACATCATTCCAAAGGGACCATAATACCCAGTCCACCCATTTCCACTGCTACTGTTGCTTGAATACTCAAGGCTGTTGACCAAGCATCTCTGTTTTTGCAGCTGAGAAACAATAGCTGCTTTCTCCCTCCTGAATCTCTAGTGCACTGGGGATTCAGGATGAAGAAATCTGATATTTTTTCCTGGGTATAGTTGGTTTTTGTCTGCATGCTCTGCACACACACACCCCTTGCTACTGTATGACTAAGGGAGGGTGTGCTTGCCATTTGCAGTGAGCCTGTAGATGGAGGGGGCATTCATCAGAGATCTACTTTACCATTTGTCTTGTAAATGGCTATAAAAATATATATGCACATAAATTGATACTATACTTGAACATGGCACCAACAGCTTTCCCTCTTGGTGTTTTTACTGATAGTTGATTTCAATTATGTTGGAAGTAGGATTGCCAGCTGAAATATGGGATGGGACAACTGTTGAATTCCCCATCTTCTGCATAGCCATTAAAGGTGTAGGAACCATGTCCCTTATTTCCCTGTAAACCCTAGTTAGAAGCCATCTTGCATCCATGCCATGGGAGAAAGGTAGGATACAATTGTAATAAATCAACAAAGATTTCCTCCCTTTCTTTTTCTCACTGTTCTGCAGTGACAATTACAGTGCAATTGTGGCCAATGTCTCAGATCTTTGGTGCACTGTGTATTTCCTTTCAGATTTCCCTACATCCATCTCAGTCTCAGTTGTGGTTCAGTGCAGATCTCAAATATGTATGTATTAGAAATAAGCTATTCTTTATCTCCCTCTTCTCCATTCCCCCAGTCATTCTAAATAATCCCAAATAGTGTACTTCCTTGATGATGGAACTTGGATGTCCCAGTGTAGCTTCCCACAGTGTTGCTATCATATGAGATTACATACCAGTTTGAAGATTTCTGAGATCCCTTTGGGAACGTCAGTGTGTTTGTGTGTGTGTGTTGGCTCATATGTAGGCAGTCGTGAGGTCCTGATGAGGAATTTAACTTGGTCCTTTGTCAGGAAAGGAGAGGCAACTGTACCTTTTATTTTGTCTTGATGGGACAGAAATGTTGACAGGTTGGTGTAAACTGGCACAGGCTAGAATGTGCCAAAATGCATGGAATAGGTAAGTCTATAACCAGTTCAACTTGTAAATTGCTTAATTAAAAGGTAAAATCTCCAAGTCCCTCTTCAAGGTGATTGCCAACTCCAGCTGTCACTTTCTCTCCTCTTGAGCACTCCATGCTGTTTTTCACAGCCTCAACCCAGCAGTTGCTTTAGTGCTACAAAAATTTCACAGATGTTGAGTCACTTCTCCTTTAAGACCAGCCAATAAATAGAGACAATTATGTTCTGGTGGTAGGATTATACAGTTGTGTGGTCGCTTGGAAAAGTAATAGGTCCCATGCCATTTTGTTTTCACCTACAAGCAATGGATGGATGGATATTTTTTTCCAGGAGTGAGTAATCTGAATTACCCCCATCCATACTGTACACCTGCTGGGAATTTAATTTTTTTAAATAATAATAATAATAATAATAATAATAATAATAATAATAATAATAATAATAATAAATAACAAAACCTCTTTAAGAATCTGGATGTTGTTCAAACACGGCCCTGTGTTTCACTTTAAATAGGAATGGACACTCCTGAAGAATTCATCCTAATAGGCTTCAGAAATATGTTTCTTTCAATGGAGGGAGGAGGAGGAGGAGGAAGATTTTTGGCAGCAATGAAAGGGACCAGGTAATTTTAGAAATATGCAGAAATATGTATGTGGCCTTTGGGCCATACTGGTCCCTCTAGTACACATTCACTCTGTTTCATTTTTGACACATATTCAGTCTTAAGTACAGTCCATCCAGTTTCAGTATAAGTATGCACATAAAAAAAAAAAAAAAACCAGGAAAAATGCAAATTTCTATATGCCTTTCCCCAAATATGTTTTTTTGTATGCAACTTTCCTTAACAAATGCAACTTTTCATAATATATGCACATTTCTGAGTTTTCTATGTAACTTTTCATAATATATACCTTCTTCCACACTGTTTTACCCAATATATGCATAATAATTTCACATGTTGAGCCAAGAACTTTGTAGTTCAGTGCCTTCAAGTTAACCCTGACCTATGGGAACTCCATCCTAGAGTCTTCTTAGCAAGATGTATGCAAAGGAGATTTGCCATTGGTCACCCAGTGGCTCACCCAGTGGGTTTCCATGGCTGAGCAGAGATTTGAACCTTCAACTCCTAGAGTCATAGTTTAACATATAAACCACTATATCATGCTGCCTCTCAAGCCAAAAACTAGACCCAAAATTCAGAAATGTCTTAATTCTGAAGAATGATCATTCTGTATTGTCATTCTGTCAAGCACCAAACAGCTCTGTCAGTGTAAAACGTGGACCAAATATAATTTGGTAAAATGTAAAACCTGGACTAAATGAAATTGTAAAATGTTGACCAAATGAAATTCTCACTCACCTCAGTTGTCAGCTTGACTCTTTCTCATGGAAAAATTGCATGCACACATAGACAAAAAATGTCTTCTGAGTTATTTAACCTCAGCTCTAGTCTGTAGCTCTCAAAAAAGACCCTGAAGCTCACAGAGAAAGAACAGCTACAGTAAATATGGACATGGCTTGAAAAACATCAATGACCCACATATTTAAGAAGAAGGAAAAATTAACCTGCATGAAGTAAACTGTGAAGCTTTGAAACTTATTTACCTCAGAACAAATATGTGATTCAGAGCTACTGAGATCCAAGCTGACAGGTGTCCCATCCCCTTAGTTTTTTGCTCTCTTGGTCCCTGTAAGGACCTCAAAGCACTTCTCTCCAGCACAGCAGTTCCATCTTCAGTGCAGTTAACCCCCTTCCATCCCATTTTGATAACCAGAAGTGCAGACAAAAATAACCAGCCTTCTCTCTCTAATGACCTATTTCCAATTTATTCTTTGGCATCAAATAATATAAAAGAAGAAGAAGGAGAGAAAGAACTGACCAATCAATATAATGCTGAAAGCTCAGATTTATTGATCTGGATTTTGCTGGAATCAAAAGAAACACAAGCGAGGCCAAAGTGGGTGAGGGAGGAAAGCAGAGGAGATGTCAAAGATATTCCAGTCCAATCGTATGGTATTGGGCATCTTACTGTTTGTTCATGTAAGCCTCCCTGGAGGGGGTCCTCCTCCTACCTGTTTCTAGCTGAGAGGGACAGAAAGTTACTAAGGCAATTACAGTCTAATCTTTGAAGTCAGTCATGGCAAGCAGAGAGAGTAACAGGAAGAATGAATAGCCCTGTTTCACATCCTCTATGAGCCTTGAAGATCTGGACATATGACATGAAGGAAAACATAGGATGAAAGAGGCAAGGGCAGGCCCTATTGCTGGTAGGGATAAGAAGAATATTATAAAATATTCAAAAACTGGTCAAAAACCATGTTTCCAAAGTGTCTGGAAACCATGACAAGAAAAATCCTGGACTGACAAGCAACTTGGCAGCTGACATCTTATTTTATGCAAAATTTGTAAATGGCTATTTTGGAGGCAGAACCATTATTTTCTGTTTAGAATATGTTTCCTGCAAAGAAAATGAGAAAAGAAACACATCCTTAGCTACTGGTCTCAGTGAAGTGAGCACTTAAGTGGCAGAGTGGCTACTCCTTCTGTCTCCACCTTGACAGGGCTCTGGAGAATGACTGGCACTCCACCATGCTCTCTCTAGGGTTTCCAGGTTAGGACCATTTCAAAGATGGGATTTAAATTACATCTGCATTGCAGAAATAATCCATTTCAGCATCACTTTAACTGCCATGGCTCAATGCTATGAAATTCTGGGAACTGTAAGGAACCAGATCTTTGCTGGGGTGCCACAACAAACTACAGTTCCCAGAATTCTATAGCATTGAGCCATGGCAGTTAAAGTGGTATTGAAACAGATTATTTCTGCAGTGCAGATGGGAGTTAGTGATGTGTTTAAACCTGACACATTACACAACAACTATAGTTCCTCAATTGAATATTGTTAGTCAAATAAAAAGTACAAGTCTAACAAAGGAGATAAAAGAGGGAAAGAAGTACATTGTGGAGTTTATCACACAGGGGAAATCCCGTGAGGAAATGGGGCTTTAAATTAAACAAAACCCGCAAAAGAGGGTGTTTTTTCAGACAACGTCACTGTTAAAAGGAGGTTAATCCGAATGGAAACTAGACAAACACTGCTTCTTTTTACTTTCAGAAGATCCCAAAAGTAAAAAGAAGCAGTGTTTGTCTAATTTCCATTCAGATTAACCTCCTTTTAATAGTGCTTTCACTTTTCACACAGGGCAGAATGGGAGAAATCCCGTTCATTAAAAGCTTCCGCTTTTGCAGTTTTATTTTTTACTTTAAAATGATTTTGCACGGGGCTCCCCATGTGATAAACTCCTATGTCTCTGGAAAGTCCACAACAGCTCCTCCAAAGCCACTGCACACAAATGGGGCCGAAAGCAGTAAAAAGTCTCTAAAAATGTTAGAGTCTCTAAAAATGTTTTTTTTTTCAGGGCAGTGCCCTTGCACTGAGATTCTTCCTTTTTGGAGCCAGTGTCTGAGATATGGAAACTCTATTGATGGTGTAAATTATAGTTGCCTCCACTTCCTTCCTTTTCCCTTTCCCCATTTTTTTTTTCAAACAGGTCTTTGACTGGACAACATTTCAAATGTACATTGTTTCAAATAGAGGATTTCATTCTGTGAATTAGGACACGTAGCTGTTCTGCCAAGAACTGCTTGCATGGGATGCTGCTCATATGACCATTCTTCCTCCCACCCCCAGCTTTCCCAACTAGAGAAAACATCCCACAGATTCCCAGCTAATGCAATATACTCCTGCTTTCCCCTAGAAAGTGTTGGGCCTCATTCCCACTTACAAATAAATCAATTTGTGATCCAAATTGATGGATCAGCTTGACAGCAGAGCGTGGTTCACACTACATTTGCCCCTATCACATTTTCTTGTTGTAAAATAACCCACTTGTCATTCCCATTGACTAATAAATCGATTCAAAATTTGCCGACCCTCTTCAGCTGGTCAGCAAATTTAAAGGGCAAATTTAAATTGATTCTGATTCACATCCTGTTCACACTTGTGCTGAATCTATTTATTGCAAAAGATGTGGGGGAAAATAGTGCCAAAAAGACATGTGTTAAATGACTCTAGTGCAAGGGGGTGTCAAACCGCTTCAGCGATTCCGCTCAAGTGTGAACAAGGATTATTTAAACCACTTCAAATTGGTTAGCAAAGTGGGTTATAACATAGTGGGAATGAGGCTTTGGTGAAGATGAGAGGAGCTGAACAGACAAGGGCAAAGAAGGGATAGAAAGAAATGTAGGCCATTGGATTACTCTCCAGGTTGGAAGTCATCTCTTTATTGCTCTCTGTTTCAGAGCAAATAGGAACTTCAATACAGTCTCAGTCTCTCTCTCTCTGGCTGTATCTACATTCTTCCCAGTTTCAGCCAACTAAACCCTCAAGCTCTGAAACAAATGTTAAGGACTATGAAGACAATTTAGGTTGCTCCCCCCCTTTTTTTTTTTTTTAGACTGCCTCCAGCATACACAAGATTGCACAGAGAATGCACCCCTCCCAAAGTTTTGAGAATCTGGGAATATGACTGAAAAGGTGAAGAGGCACTCTCTATTTGGGATCAATTTACAAATGTTCCTCTGGATGCCCACCTAGTACTTACATGACTCAAGAATTATTGCTTGTGCACCAAAGGAAAAACAACAACAGCAGGGCATCTGAGGTACAGTATTTATTGCTGCACATGCCAGACACTGAATAAGTAGAAATGGCATAACTAGTCCATTATTAGGAGGCAGGACTAGAGATGCTCAGTCTGGCATGTTTGTTTGTTCTTGTTGTCCCCTGATGTATTTCACTTCATTGGGAGGGAAGAGATGATGGATTACTATTGTACCCACTGTGCAAGATAATGCACTAAGATAGAAATGGAGTGGCTGATAATCTGAAGCCCATTACTTGCTTCACTTTGAGAAATGACACAAAGAGTTGCAATCAGTCCTAGTATTAAAGGAGTTATCCAAATTACTGAACTATGTGGAAGCTAGACTTCTCTACCTTGGATAGGATAATGTTTTAATATAATCTGGAACAGATTCACTGCCCCACATGGGAACCACCAGCCTCAGATGCATACAATATGCTTTTTTTTTTAATGTTGTGTACTTGTAAATTCCTCCGGAAGGGAGCCCATCTCTGTCTCAGTTGATAATGACTGTAATGGTATCCATAGACAATGGACACCATTTGGAGTTCACTATCAATAAGGGATGGATTTATTTCCATTAAATGTCATTTTTACATATGTTCATCCACAAAGTTCCTCAGTCTTGTTTTCTTACTAAGCTCTTTTGTTGTACTGAAGTCTCCAAGACCACTTTTATACATCAGATAGTTACAGGAAGCCCCTGATTTCTGATTACTCACTTTTCAATAACTCACTCTTTTGACTCCTGCAAATTACAGACAAGTTTCATTAATTAGATGAGGGGTTCACATTTTCATCAGTTCCTCTTGCTTACAAGGTTCACTTAGGATGCACAGTCCCAAGGCTTGCTTATGGAAAGAGCAGATCCCTCCTTGAATTAATGGAACTTGACTGTGTAATTTGCAAGTGTGGAAAGAGTGGGCTTGCTGCAGGTCTTCTTCCTGTAGAGGCTTGTTTTGGTCTGCTCACATGCACATGCTGCTTGCAAAGTGAGCTGAGAACACATTTTTTTCTCTCCTCTCAGCTCACTTTGCAAGCAGCACACATGTGCACCAGCAAGCAATCCAAAACAAGCTTCTGTAGCAATCCAAAGTGAACACTGCTTTGCACCTTTCCCCCTCTCTTTCTGCTACTTCTGCGATTGGGGCAGTGCTCCTTCAGTCTACATTCAGTCTCTTCCAGTTGCTTCTACAGCTTTTGGTTTGGGAACCCTGAATCTTGTTTAAAGTTGTGTGTTATATAACTTTTGCATACATTCAAAAGTGAAATATAGTGTGTTATTTACAATTCTTTGGTAGCCAAAATGCATTTGCAAGCTAAAAAATCCACAAAAAACCTGGGTTCCATTGTTCAACTGTTTCCACTTTCTGACAGTGATCCAGTCTCTATCCCATCAAATAAGCAGGGACTTCCTCTATCCCATTTTCAGACTTTTACCCCAGATATGATGGTGCATGTCCTGGTTATATTCTGTTTGGATTATTCTAATGTTTTCTATGTGGAGTTGCTTCTGAAAAGT